CTCCTCCAAATCCAAATTTCCCGTCCTCATTACTTTCAATGCCATTAGTTTCAGTCGCCCTAGGGCATAACACAGATCAGAGGTCTGGTGCCCGCTTGCGCGGGCAGGTACCTTGCCAAATTACATGATCCAGTCAGATATGTTATGATAAACCATCTAAAAAAATAGCAAAATCCGTCTAGCATTTGCAAAATTAGCTTGTAGTTATTTACGGTGGCCAGAAGGGCAAGTCATGTAAAATTAGCCTGGTGCTCAACGTGTTAAAGATGTACTGATATTTTTTATGGTGTAGAAAAAAATCCCTTTGTTTCGTTAACATTTAAAATGTATTCTCAGTTTTCTTCAATATTTATTAGAATTTAATCCAAATACTGACTGACTACGAATTATCTTGAATATTATAGTAAAAATTTCAATAGCTCCGCTTTTTTACAATTTTACTTACTCTAGGTTCGTAAAATGGAATACGTTTAAATCTAAAAGCGGGAAAACTCTTGTGGAGAAAAAAAACTTTTAATGAATGCTTTACTAGATTACTAATGAAGACGGTTGGAAGAATGTTTGGTAATCAAAACAAACATAAAGATAGGAAAATATATCAAATTTAAAATAAATTGAAAAAAGATGACCTTTCATGTCTACAAAATTCTTAAACATATGAGAGTTTCTTTTTTTCACAGGTATGTTTAAAAAAGGCATTAATTTTATTTAATAAATAAAATTAATCTAAAATTAATAATTAAGAAAAGATTAAGTTAATAAAATAAATTAAGATTATCCGATACACTTTTTGTACCATCAATAAAACGAACTTATACGACACCTACTCTCCGAACCAACACAGGGCAGCGCATTAGTGAGTAGTTTTTGTCTCTGATTTATTCAAGCTATTTCGCGAATGGCTCTGACTCATTCAAGCCATTTGGCGGAAATCGAAGTGCATGAGCTTTCGGTATGAATGTTTGATTTGACCAGTACTTCTTATGATGATTTTCGCTACCTTCTTTACAGTTTTTTCCCTAGTTTCGATTCGATCTCATAATTTATTTGGCCAGGTATGTGCGCGAATTAGTACTTTACTATAAATTATTTATTAATTTGGAGTAATAGCTGATTTTCTTTCATCGTTTGTATTTTGCTGCCACCAACAATGTTGGTAAACAGAAAGAAGTGTCATCAATACCGTGCCACGTACTTGAAGTCTGCATTTGTTCAATCGCTGTTGAAATCTCAACTGCCCATGTGTTTACTTTGTAATAAAGTTTTATCTAATGAGACAAGGAAAACTTTCCGTTAACAGGAGCATTTGCAAAAAAACTCATATTCACAAACAAAATAAAGATATTTAATTTTTTGCGAACATCAAAGACAAGTTTCTGAAGGCACCTTCGGTCTCAGGGCTACTAGCAACATCATCACAAATTCAGTAAAGCCTACATTGCCATGCAATGTAGGCTTTACTGTAGGCGTATGTACGGTTTGTAAAGGTTGGAAAAAGTATACAAGAGATGCTTTTTGCAAGAGCTTGATTGTAGATATCAAAGGTAAATCTATTTTTAATACTGTCCCAGATTATTTTACAGAGAAAAACAATCCTATTGCGAATATTATGTCGATTGCCACTGATGGAGCTCCTGCAATGGTGTGTCGACATCATGGGTTTATCGCCCTTTTGAAAAGGGAAATACAGATATTTTATTTGTTCACTGCGTGAATCACAGACAGCTTTTAGTAGGATAAAATTTCAGCGACCGTTAGCGTCAGTTATTGCAATTTGTCATATTTGCTGTGTACAAAATTCACAGTAATACTCTCAACGATTGAAGAATTCAATCACTTGCTACTACACTCCGAGATTCTCTGAATATCCAAAGGCGCATGTCTCAATAGGTTTTGTACTCTTTTCGACTCTATGCTTGAGTCCCTCTAAAAAAGAGATGTAGCTCTGAGAGACAGATTGCTAGAATTCAAGAAAGACTTTGGCGGATTTATTTGTAAAATTTAATGGCATTAATTTACAACTTCAAGGCAACGAGCTCAATTTGATCCCTACATAATCAGTCATTTCTGCCTTTCTGAAAAAACTCATTTTGTGGAAGCAGAATTTTGGTTGGAATGAGTTCAGCCAAGCAGATGAAACTCGCTCTGATGATGCACAAGAATATTGTCAACACCTCGTCTCTTTGCACGTAGATTTTTCTGACCGTTTTAAAGATGTTTTGTTCCCTGGAAGTCCCTTAATGGGTTTTGAACCCTTTTGTGAATATTGAAACAGCAGATTTTCAGATTTATGAGGAATTAGTCGAACTTTCAACTAATGAAACTTTGAAGTGGTGATCGTCTCAGAGAATTTTGCCTTCAATGTAACATCAGTCGCCTCTACCCTGGACTGAGGACTATCATTAAAAAAATTTTAAATGCGTTCCCTTCCTCCTACCTTGTCGAACGTGGATTCAGTGCTGTTGCGGAAAAAAAGAGAAATCAACTCGAAATTGTGCAACAAGGGGACTTGCGTCTTCACCTCACTATAAAAAAATTTAACCGAATGTTAAGAGACTAACGTTTCGTTGATACTACTGATACTTCGTTGATAAAAATATTTTGAGTGTTTTTTTAATTATCTAATTAAGAATAAATTATTCTTTTTAAGCATAGCTTTCTTTGTTGTATTTTTTTAATCACCGTATTTATTTTAATTTATGTAAATAGACTGCGAATACCTGCCGTGAAAAAAGTATCGATAGATGTACACATTATTTTTTTAAAAAAACCAAACAAATTTAACTCTTAAAAAATTGCTTAATGTTGTCTCTTATAATTTAGCACACCTCGCTCCATCACTATGCTCTATATAACTGGATTTTCACAAAGGGGGGCGTGTTTTGTTTTTCAACTTGGTGTGTTCTGCCAGACCTCACAGCATACGCTTTGTTTTTACACAATACTTTAAATTTAATTGGTCTAAATTTTAATGTTTTCTATTTTTATCTCTTCGGCCATTTAATCCGTAACCTTTTTACATTAATTTTTAATACTCTCACCATAGGGAATATCATTCTATAATTTATGTTTCAAAATAATTTTTAAGCAATTTTTTGTTGATCAATAGCCTAAAAATCAAGATTTAATTTTTAAAAAAGTTGAAAATTCTGTATATATAAAATTCTTTTTACCCTATTTTAAACTTTTTTCATCATCAATAAATAATTAAATAAATAATATTTAATTCATCGAAATTCCAAATTATATTGTATATCTGTATTTCTAATTTTTCAAAACTCTATGCACCCTCTATTTTGGTAGTGATAAATACGAATTTGAGGGGGAAAAAGGTTTGTTTTTTGAGAAAAAGTACGTTTTTTCGTCAAAATATTCCACCATTATAACCGAAACTTTCGGTCCAAATTTTCAACCGCCCTTCTGACAAAACTATTGGGACAATATTTACCAGATTGTGTCAACCCCCTATATTTTGAGAGTTCGTAATACGAAAAAAAGGTATATTACCCTTTATAATATCCTCAGAGAAAGTAAGTTTTTCGTGTATGATTTAGTAACTTAAAATATCGTCTGCTCTAATAAATTAGCATATTTAAGGACACACCATCGGACCATAAAGATTGAATTAGAACGTGAAGATTCAGGTTTTTTTCCAGGGTGGTCCGTTATCTTTCTTTCTATTTTGAGAACTGTACAACAGTTAATTGTAACCATGGTGGTGGCGGAATTAAATTCTGATATATAACTCTCAAAGTTTTGAAAAAACTAGCTATAGTTTAAAAGCTATTATGGTTGAAAAATCAGTTACTCTAATGTTATGGTATTGTGTCTCGCTTTTTTTCATAACTTAGAAATGATTGATTAAACTGCAATAACTGAAATGTCATAAGCCCTCAATCTAAAGACAAATATGTAATATAATCTGGAGCTTAGATGAATTAAATATTTTTGATTAAATAATTTGTCAATGATAGAAAAAAAAATTGAAAAGTATTGTATAAAATTTCTTTTTATTCATAATTTTTAGATTTTTTAAACCAAATATAGATTGAGTCCTAAAACGTGAAGGTCCGATCGTAAGATCAAAAGTTATTCAAGTTGTTTAATTTTTTTTCCTTGCGCATTGTATTTATTTTAAAATCTATCTTCGAGATGTTACCGAAAGACTCCAAATCAAAATCCAACCAAACGTTTAACACAGATCAAATTTATAGCTTCAGAATGGTTAGCCGTATTTTAATTTTGCATTGTATTATATCAACAGAAAAAGAAATGAACATTTGGCATAGATAATGAAAAGTCGTAAATTTTTCTCATAGGTAGTAACTCATTTACATGAAGAATCAACTGGAAGTCATGCAAGGCTGCCAACTTTCTACACATTTTGTAGAAATTTATTCTCAAACCCACGATCCACTGATATTATAGGTACTATCCACTGAGGATATTTTATGTCAACACTGTGGTCGGGGAAAGCCGGGTGCGGAATTCTACTCGACCAACCATTGCTTTGATTCGAACCCGGTTAACCTCATTGGGAGGCGAATGCTCTATCCCCTGAGCTCATTCAAAGTATTTTGTCGAATCCGGAGCAGTTAGTCTGATAATGTAAGTTTTGTGGCAGTTTAAGTCCAAATTCTATTCAATATAGTGGTTAGTGGGATGTAGTACACTACTGGCTACAAAATTGCTACACCAGGAAGGTGACCCACCACGAACGTGAAATTTGCAGGATGAATAAAGCGTGGTGTGGTATGCAAATTATAAGCTTATCAGTGCTTTCATGCAAAGCACACCTACAATGTGTATAAAAAAAAAAGGAGATTTGACCGTAAGTTTCTCATACAGAAATTGAATTTGAGCGTTGTTCTTGGGTAAAAAAGTTTTTTTATGCCTTGTGCAAGAAGGAGAAATGCCTACCAGCACGTGTGTGAGTTTGATCGAGGTCGAATTGTGGCCTACGGGGATTGCGGTTTAACGTACCGAAGTATTGCCACCACTCAGTCAATCACTACTGTCGATAAATTGCGGCATAATGTCGAAGCTGCATGGAATGCTGTACCCGTCCATGCTATCCAATCTCTGGTCGACTCGATGCCCAGGAGAATAACTGTTGCCATTGGTGCCAGAGGAGGCTGCTCTGAGTACTGATTCCTCAGGATCTCTACATCCAAGCATCCTGAAAATTTAATCTCTTGTTCTTTCAACTTTAATATATGTGCCCAATAAATATCATCCTGTTATTTGCATTCCTTTCTGGTGTAGCATTTTTAATGGCCAGTAGTGTATTATAGCCATTTTAGATACATTTTAATTTGGATATGATGTAGGGATATTTATCCCAGAAAAATAAATAAAATCGTTTATGAAAAATTGATATATTATGTAAATATCATAACGAAATTATAAAATAAAGTAAAAAAATTCTCTTAAAACGATCAAGAGAATCATTCTCTTAACATCAATAATTTCTGTTGAGATATTTATATAATCAACGGTTGTGACTGAGAGGCCAAAGCTCTCAGTCCGTTCGCCAATAATTAAAAATTAAAAGTAAATGAATTGTTCCTAACAGACGGTCAGGAGCATGGAAAGAGTTCCATGTTTGGAGATTTATGGAAGTGTGACTTAACCAAAAATAAAGCCAACCCCCATAATCAATAATTGGGCGAAAGCGAATCGCCCCAAACACTGTGCGAATTAGTATAACCATGCCTCTTGTGGCATCACATTAAGCATACATAACGTTCATCATCTGTGATGTTAACCCCTTGCATTCTGATATCGCCTCAGAGTAGCCATCTATAGTAACCACCCTAAGATTAAAACTCTTTATAGCTTAATAATTAGTAACTACATTATTTAAAGAATTTACAAAAACCCCACTGGCTACTAACTACAAAGACTAATTAACACAAACTGAACACAAAGACATGATGAATGGGACAGGGTACCCAGATAAAGCACACTGCTAGGACTACTTCACGAATTGGTAAATATTAGCCTTTTTTCATATAATTTTTTTCCAACCATATATATATATATATATATTTTCCAANGAAAATTAAGAAAAACAATAAGTTTTATTTATTGCGCATAAGCTGCAAGTAAATAAAACTCATAAAATAAGTTCAAAACAAAGATAAAACAAAGGAAAATTACAGACATATGAAAAAAGGGGGAAAAAGAAAAAATAATAATAAAAAAAAAAGAAACAACTGGGGGGGGGAATAATGTTAGAATGCACTATTAGATTGTAATATTAGATGCAATGTGGATGTAATCGTGTGGGCAGATGAAAAAATTATATCTTTTATTTCCGGATTTTTAAAAAAATTTTATCCTTTTTTTTAGGATTTTTTTTAATTATATTTTTTTAATTCCCCCTCCCAGTTGTTTCTTATTTTTTTTTTTATAATTCAATTTCTTTTCCCACCTTTTTTCATATATCTGTAATTTGTAATTTTGTAATATATATATATACTAGCGGACACACGTCTTTAATTGGAAAATTTCAAATTTTTTTGAATAAGCTGTAACAATCTGGATTGTTTTGATGCAAATTTTTAATAAAAAGTTATCATATTATCTAACGTCATTACATATATCTAATCACAATTCGACCAATCGATAGCGTGTGAGTATGTGTATTGTATACTATCAGCGAAGTTAAATGTAGAGGTTGTTTTAAATCGAAACTTAAACTTATTTTAATTAAAGGTAAAAAAGTGAAAACTTAAACTATTTTATAACAGATATATTTTTCAATTAAAAAAAAACTTAAGTTATCGTACCAATCTTCAATCTCAAATTATAGGGTGGCATTCCAGGTAAATCCAGTGAATTTAAAAACTCGGCAGGATAGTTGACAACTTCATCAGGATCAACAACAGTGTCAATCGATTTGAATGTAATTTCACTACCAGGCAATGATTGTTGTACTCTAAAATTGATTGCGTCAACATCTAAATTTTTTGCGGTTAAAATAGCTCGCTCACGCAGCCATGCATGATTAGTATAATTATGTGGCAAATCTGGAAAGATACTTTTTATTAACTCCTCTTTGGTAGGCACCATGTTGCAAAAATTCTGTGGGAGTCGAATATATTGTGTATCTTCATACAATTGAATTTTACCATTGCCAATGTCTAACAGTTGTTCAGAGAATCTTGACGCAAATGGATCATTTTGAGGTTGAACACGCATATTAAGAGTAAGGCATAATTTACTGACACTTCGCCACAGATAAGATTCTTTCAAACATACGTTTATTTCGTCCGCATATGTCGCACGTGGAATGACGGGTAATGTTTGTCTGAAATCACCTGACAGCAGCAGTAGAGCACCACCAAAAAGCCGAGTATTATCTTTGATATCTTTTAGGGACCTGTCGAGAGATTCAAGCGAATGCTTGTGGGCCATTGTACATTCATCCCAGATAATAATTTTACATTTTCTCAAGACTTCAGCCATGCCTAAATGCTTCTTTATGTTACACATTGCTTCTGGATTGGTATGAATATTCAAAGGTAATTTAAGTGCTGAATGCGCTGTCCGTCCACCATCAAGTAAGGTTGCTGCAATGCCTGATGAAGCAATTGCCAATGCAATATGATTTTGAGATCGAATGCGCGCAAGTATTAGTGAGATGAGGAATGTTTTACCAGTGCCACCTGGTGCGTTCAGAAAAAAAATCCACCTTGTTGTGCTGCAATTGACACGTTAATTTGATCATATATATTTCGTTGCTCAGCAGTAAGCAATCGTTCATTGTTGGCAACAAAAGTAGCCAGAGAAGTCATATCGAACTGGTGTTCACGTTGAACGTCGCTGATGATGATATCTGCTACTTGGCGGATTGGCGCTGGCATGCCAAAATTTATGAGCAGCATTATCGAAATAAGAATACAAATATCCTCAATCATTATTAATGCCTCGTTATATATTTCTGCGGAGAATTCAATACTGAGATTTTGATTAGTAATTCTAATCCGATGCAAAATATCCTCACTCATTGAGTCTTTATTTTTATTCCACAGAGCAGATGCTTCAGACGGAAAACACGTTGTCAGTATTATTGAAAATAATTGACGAATTTGCTGTGGAGATGAGCTCAGTGCTGCATCTGCAAGTGAGAGGTCCCAATGGTTATCATCCTCCAATAAATGTAACTCACGACACGCATCAAAGAAAGTGCCGTATAAAGTACCGTTGACTTTTCGCAAGTATTGGAAGGATGTCGGTTCAGGAACGTTAACCTATAACAAACGCAGAAAAAAGCATTCGCGTTGCTTAGGATGAACTGTATATAATCGTCCTAAAGTATTAGTCATAACTATGTCGGCAAATCCTGGGAATGGAGTGCCTCGTTTCCGTAGTTCCCAACTTTTTGATCGTTTATTCCATGTAAAAAATTTAGGAACATCAGTATACATTAATATCTTTACAAATTCACCAACAATATCTTGTCGATTACAAAGGTTGAAAAATTCAGTAAGAGTTGTTTTTTGGAGCTGTTAAAGCTTGTTGTTGTGCATTCTGTTCTGTGAAATAAACACGCTGTACATTTTCAAGATGCACAGCCAAATGTACAACAGCAGGATCTCTTTCATGTATAGGAAATGTAAAAATTCGCCAAATAGCTTCATTACTACTTATGTATCGTCCCATTTGATAATGTGTTATTTCGTCGTTCTTATTTACATTTTGAACAGCAAATATAGCTTTATCACTGACCTTATGAACGTACTTACAAATGTACTTGATAGACTTCACCGAACTGCATAACTCAACGTTTATGTGTGCTTTATAGGCTTTGCACAGCAATGGTGAGTATGGAACCACCCAGCGATTATCGATGTCAACTCTTACACCTTTTGATAGACGCAATTCATATGATTGACCGCCATTGTCTACATCTCTACGACGGTAAGATGGATAACCATCGATATTGGTGATAGTGTCAGTTTGACATGGTTTAGGAAAACGTTTCGTACATTTTCCATTATCCATAGATGGTGACATCATGTTGAGAGAACCACATGGACCATTATATGGACACATGGATATTAGTAGTCACAATGTCAACCAATTCTTGATCAACATTCGGATTTGGAATTTCCGCTGAAATAATTTTCTCAATTTCTTCTGGGCGTACTTTGTCCACCAACCAAATCAAAATATGCGCATGAGGTAAACCTCGTTTTTGCCATTCAACAGAATAAAGCCAACATCGTGTTTCACCAAAAACCGAGTGATGTGTAATCAATTTCATCAGAGATTTCAATTTTTGTTTGAACACACATGCAATGATATCATGGCGATGCATCGATGTTTGACCTGATAACAGCAAATTTTTAATTTCATCCCAGTTTGGATTACACGTAAATGTGATAAAAAGATCTGGTAGGCCGTATGCGCGTACGTAAGTCATGGCGTCTTGAATATATTCTTGCATATGACGCGGACTACCAATGTATGATGATGGAAGATTATATGCGGTACCGATGTTGTTGATATCATTCGTTGCTTCTACGTTACCGATTATGGCGTCACGCAAATGAATGTACTCCTCAGAACGAAGTTTCGCTTGATTAAATTTTATATAACGCAATCTCTCACATTCAATTTTTACATACATATCAACAATGTACTGATGAAATAGCTGTCTGCATCGGAGAATGTTATTATCTTCATTTTCACGAATCATCAACCGGTATGCGTAGAAGTTTATCGCACTAACTTTCTTGATTAGTTCTTCACCTGTAAATAAAACTATTTATAAGATAAACAGAAATAATTGGTTAAAAAAAAATTATGAAATAATCTATAAGTTGTGTCTGTTGTTGGATACCTTTGTTTAATATTTAAATGATATCCATCTTCTCCTTCCCAAAATAACAACGGATATTGCAGTGCGTCGTAAGAACGATGATTGTCTTGAATTATTTGTATTGTATTATCTCTGCGTTGTATGCGAATATCTCGACGTTCACATGGGTCACCAACTGCAACTTCATTAACAGTTGGAACATTATATGTGCCTGCGTGCTCTCCATAGGGCACTTTGTCTGCTTTAATAACAATGGCGTAGTTGTCGTTTTGTAGTCTGTTGGAAAGAGTCTTGAACAATCGGTTCAATTGGTTATGGTTTTGCAAGAACGTTTCCAAAATGTCCACAATTTCTCGTTCCTTCATCTGCTCTATATGGTTGTATACGCATCGTGTATGAGTTTGTTGCTCCTCATCGCCCATAAAGTAAATTTGTAAGAATTTTGGATCGACATTAGGCATTGGAAGCAATGAACCAATTTGGTGGTACACTTGACCTTGAATCTTAAATGTAGATTCAAAATTACGATCATCCTAATTATGAACAATTTTTGTTGCTCCAAATGATGTCATTTGAAAGCAAGAATTGAATTTACGAATTTTCCTCAAGAACAATTTCGATTGAGATGCGGTTCCAGCTAATAATGTTTTCAAAGGTTTCGGTGGTGAATTTAATGGTGGAAGTGAAACGTTTCCAGATGCGCAACATAAACCAGCTGATTCACCTTTGTACTTTAAAGCATGACAATATTGACACTCGTTGTCCATACTGCCGATTAAGATTAGTGCATGTGACGAATAGTCTATTTCAGGGTCATATTCAAACGCAAGACGATTAATTGATGCTCGTATCAATGCTCGATTATCTTGCATTCGCCGTTGGTTACGTTCTCTGTTTTCGTTCGTCGCTCGTTGGCGTGTCTCTCGTTGTCTTAATGCATTTGCACGAAGACGTTGATTGCGTTGCTCTGAATTTTCATTTTCACGTGAAGATGCAACTGGATTTCTTGAATTCACATTATCCGTCAAGTGTTCTTCAACTGTTCTATTCAATCGACGATCATGGACCAATTGTGCGTTTCGAGTACGTCGACCAATATTTCTTGCGAAGACGTGGCATTTCTTTGTAAAACAAAATACTGCAAAATAGTACATAAAAAATATGAGTAATTTATTGAAAACGATATTTTAATTAAGTAACAGGACTAAAAAGATTTATTGTACCGAATTTTAGATAAAAAATGGGTAATTTTATTTTTTTGCTTTTTTATATTTAATATTTCAAATAAGAAATTTTAAATAAAAACAATTGAAAAAGTTTTATATGAAATCAATTAGCTTCACAAATAAATTTATAGGTAAGAGTGGTTGTTAACCAGCGCACGTAAAATTTCGATCTAAAATTATACAAAATACTCACTTCAATTCCGCAGTGAATCTACAAAATGTGTAGTTTTTTACATTTTTAAAATGCACACTTCAAAACTCTTCAAACACAATAATGACACGAAATTAACAATTCTATTCAACGACTCTTTTTCCTGCTCCCTATTAAATTATATGTGTATCAAAACAAACTAAAAAAATATTTACAGAAAAACAAAAGTTTTATGACTTTTATTATTTTTATGCTAGTGAGAACCAAAACAGTATGAAAATGAATGAGGGAAAACTGGATCCTACCACGTGATTTCCCGGCCAATAAAAATGTAGCGTTAAACGTTTAACGCTTTCTTGTTGGAAGTCGCATAAGAAGTANTATAGAATCGAAGTTATTGTAATATAAATGTGAAACAAAACGGCTATCTTTCGAAAACAGCCATTCCTCTAGAACATTCTAGATATGTGAAGACAGTGTTCAGCGCTTCCCTTCCTTTTGATGCGATGAACCGGAAACAATTTCCTTTTCAAGTGCACTTCCTTCCGGTAACGGAAACTTCCGGCTGTCTGATTTTATGAGAACAATTTCTTTTGTGTTGTTTTTTTCTATTATTATTTTATGCTGTTATTTTTTTTCCTTCTGGTTTGTGTCCAGTGTCTATTCAATTTAAAATAAAATTTAGCCGTTTGAATTTCTTTAAACTGAATTTATGTTATGTATTAAGCGTGCCTGTGTATTCCATAATGTATACAAAAAACCGTTTATGTATTAAAAATGAATTCTCTAGTTTCTTCGCGGTTTCTATTACAAAGATAAGGCATACGCCTAAAAGTGTGAGAAGTGGTAGAAACTGAATTCATTTTTATTTATTTTTCTCCATTTAATTTACATTCATAACTACCGCCATGTGTTACATTTTCTATGATGTATTAGGTTTGCCAGAAAGTACGATTACCTATACTCCAATGCAGAAGGTTCTTTAAAATTAAAAAAAAATGGTGTGGTATTAACCATTTTGCTCAATGGTAATGTTCTTGCTACACATAGCATATATGGCTTAAAGAGCATGTGCATACATGCTCTAACTTGTAATGAAAGTATACAACAGAACTAAGCGATGAATGTGATATATACATTTAAGGGTAAATGCCTTACCACTTTTTTTATAAAGGCAAATTTTCGATAATTGTCTGACATAGCGATATCATATGCGAGCAGATATTTCTAGTTGACTTAAAAATTTTTTATGATGAGCACACAC